CATGCACGCCACTCACTTGTTTATCATCTTAAATCTCTTGAAGTGCTTCCACCAGCAGCTGCACTGCGCTTTCCTGTGGGCTGCACACAACCACAGCAATCTCTGCTCAGTCAGGCAGAGAAGATGATGTTGTTAGCTCTGAATTAATTTGCTCTGTGAGTGTAAATCAGCCTCCTACTGTTGTTTTGGTGAATTATTTCAAATGTAAATGCTGCAGAGACAAATGAAATGGGTGGATGTGGAAAAAAACACACTTGAAAGAGAGAACTACAGAAAAATTGTTCCCTTTGTCAATATAATGTGTTTTTAATAAACTATGGATGCTCTTGGCTTTCCAAGCTGTCTGTAATCATCATGGATTCCTGTCCCAGCCTTACCCCTAAAAGCTGTAGACTGTAAGTCAAGTGAAAACAGATAACCAACATTTTGGGAAAATGCCTCCAGCCCGTTTTCCTTCAGTCCTGGGTCATTGTTCAGCCTTGTGACCCAGACACACGTCTGGAGCTCCTTGCCACTGGGGAGCTGCTGGGGCTTATTCCAGCTGAGACATAAACCTCTGTGAGTTTGAGAGAGCTCTGTTAAGAGGCTGTGCTAAATTTGGGGCTGTAGTGTCCAGCTCCTCCAAGGAACCTATTCTAGAAGTTTATTCTGTGAGAATAGTTTTCCAGTGATGGGGTGGGATTATATTCCTTTAATTTTTGTTTTATTTTATTTTTAATGGTGGTAGTTGCATGGTGGATTTTTTGGCATTATTTTTGTTTGGGTTTTTGTTTGAGCTTTTTATTTGTTTGATTGTTTAACAGCAACTTGTGTTCAATAATTCCTGACACTTGGAATGCATGAGGCAGGTCCTTCCTTCGAGAGAGGAGCAGAGCACAGATGTGTGGAACTGCATGACCTGTACTAGGTGACATTAGTCTTTACTGAACTCTGGACTACAGCTAGCACCTGTTTTCACTTCTAGTAGATCATCTAATTCCAACTTCATCTTCCCACCAATATGATGAACACAAAACCTTTGCTCTGTTTTCCCCTCCCTGCCATCTCTGTTGGTGCTGAAGATCAAGGCTGTCCCAGTGCAGCCCTGCTGGTTTGTTGTCCAGTGTCACCTGAGCTTGATTGTGCCAATCCCACCACGCAGGCAGCTGCTTCCCAGTTATCCAGTTATCTCTAAGCAGGATGCAGTTACTTACACTGCTGGGGTGGCAATGAGTTGTTCAACCATGGCTTGTTGGGCACACAGTGCTCTTCTCTGTGAAGCCACAGAGCTGGTAACATCTCCAGAGGCTTTCTGGTGACATGGAGACCTCTGGAACTGTGTGCTGGTAGTAGTAGTAGTAGTAGTATCACTTAAGAGTTGCTTGACATCACCTTTCAGCAAGGTAGGGGCACAAGCAGAGCCCAGCCAGGACCCTTCCCACCACTGCCTGTTTGTAGCTGCATTCCAAACTCTGTAGGGAGGTGGGAGCAGGGTGAACCCTTCCCCTGGTCCATCTTTACAAACTTCACTTTATTTGCACAGAACCCTCCCCTTTTGCCCCTGAATGCAGCCTGAGTGCTGCCTGCTCAGGACTTGGACACAGACACCTGTGCCACTCTCTGGTTCCACTGAACTTTATCTGTATGGATACATTAAAAAAAAGAGTTTGTGTGGCATTCTTTTGTGAGCTTCTCTTGCTAGAATTATCCATCTGCTTTTGTATTGTAATGACATAAATCCTAAGCCTGGGCTAGGACTAACAGCAGTGTGAAGCAGAGTTTTAGTTCTTGCACATATTGGCTGTAGTACTAAATGTTGGTGACTCCCTCTGTTCCTGTGTATGGGGTTTGTTGCCATATTTAGTGAAATTTATCAGGACAGAGGTATAAAATAGGAAAAAAATCTGCTTGAGTTAATTGCGGCTTCACTTTAGTTTTTGACAGAATGTTGTTCCTTGGTGTGGCCTGGCTGCCAGGGAGGGACAGGTCAGGTCAGAACTTCAGAGAGCAGGCATGACTGTGCCACTGAATTTCAGTGTTAGCCAGAGATGGGCACTGGGAGGTGGCAGGAATGAAGCATGTGAATTAGGCACTGTGCTAATAGTGATAGTGGCCTGTCCAGCAGTGCTGTGCTGTTGGGGAGGCTGATGGGCTGTTTCAGCAATCTCTGCTAACCTGTCTTTTAAGATTTTTGTATACTGCTTGCTTCTTTTCTACTTGACCTAGTTTATGCTTTACACGTTAAGTCAGTTCCTACACTAAAAGCATTCGTTCTTCTGCTTCCTTGATGGTTTTCTAGTGCATTGGGTCACCATCCCAGACTACTGTTTTATTTATTTGTGGTCATGTCTTTCATCTAACCTGCTTCAGAGCAAATTCTTTTTTTTCATTCATTTAATTCTTTCCTGCAGCATTAGTTTGGGAAAACGTGTAATGGCTACCTTGGGCCATTCTTCCTCAAGGATTGAGAACTTTCTCATGAAGAGCTTATGAAGTGTAGTTTTGGTGCAATATGTCTATAAGGACTTGCTTTTTTGCCAGGAAAACTAATCCCAAATGCAGTAGCAGGTCTTGAGACAGCAGAGAATTGATGAGCTTGGTAAGATCAGAGAGGAAAAACTGATCTCTAGTAAAAGCAAGCACAGCTTTCAAGGCACTTAGCAGAAGTATAGAGCATTTTAAGTAACACAGATAAATACCTCCCTGGAGCTTTTGCTTTTTCATCTAAGCACAGATCAGAGAACAAATAGGAAAATGTGGGGGCAAAACCCAAATGCTTTAAAGATGCCAATGAACATTTTTCAAGCTGAAGGTTACTTTTAGCAGTGAAAATAACAGAAGATGTGCAAGGGAAGAGCAGTGAAGCCATGTGTATAATAAGGGAAAAGAATGAGATCAGAGGGCTGCAGAAGAGCTTTGAATTGACTGCTGACTTGCTTCTTATAAATGATTTATTTTTATTTGTTCTTGAAAAACATTTCTAATTTGTTTCTGTGCTAACACACTGAAAGTTGTTCATTACTATCAAACAGAGGTTTTCCAGACAGTGTATGAGCAAAAAGTGATACTTTAAGACCCTTAAATTTAGTTTTAAAAGTTCCAACCGTGGTAACTGCATGAAATTATCATATCAGTGGTATTCCAGCTGGTTTTGAGTTTTATATTAATGGACTAGGTCTTAACCCCAGAATTGCTTTATATGCAATCTATAGTACTGGCACATATTCAGTGCAGAATTTCTGTATAATGAACAATGTGAAGTGTCAGAGCAAAGCTAGGGGAATGCTTGATTATTTTTTTTTGAAATGTCACTTAAAGTTGAATGGTTGGGTAGTTCCATACTTGCACTGAGAATTTTGCTTTAATCATAAGCTCGTATGCACCTCTGTGTCCTGAATTGCCATCAATACCAAGTGGAGTTCCAGCTTCAGACAATCTTTGCTTTGTTGTGCCTATTTATTGAATTCAAAGCATAAGCAAGTGAGTATTTATTATAAAAATAGCTCGTAGTCGTCATTTTGATGTCAGGTCACTGCAGCAGATAGCTGCTACACTGAATTTACACCTCACTGCTGCTAGAAGTGATCAGTGGTGCAGCCTCAACAGCCCATCCCATGTACTGAAAGTGTTGATGAGGACAAGCTCTGCAGGTCTGGCTGTGACCTCTGACAGCACTTTATTCAGTGCTAACGTGGTGCAGCTTTTTGGTTTCATGTAATAATAAGCTAATGAATCATGGGGTGCTTTTTTTGACCCAGTGGCACAATTAGGTTCACAAGATGCACTTGCAGTATGAAGGGAAATGAAGGTTCAAGACCAAATTTGTGAGTTGCTCCTTATTAAAGTTCTACAAGGTCAAGCTCAAAAGCCTTTTTTCACCTGTTCTGTAAAATTTTGGAGGGTAACATCATGTAACTTGCACAGCTAAGACTGTTGCCAGGAGTGCTGATAGTAACATCTGTGTTTTTATTCAGTTCTACTCCTGTAGCCATGTCATGTACATTGACCTAAAATTATGATTTATATCTGCTGCTCTTTGCATCATGTCTGTGTAGGTACTTGTTTCATGCACAGAAATCTTTGTAAAGCCCATTGCTTTGTCACTGGAACTGTTGCCCTAGCAGTTACTAATCCAGATGAACATGTCAGCAGGTGTTTTCTTTAATCACTGTCATTTTTCACAGATTTGAGAACAGCAAGTTCATGTTCAGTAACCAGTACAGGGATGGGATGAATGACACTACATGCCACTGAAGGTTATTTGCTAATACCTCAAGGAGACTTTAGGAAGAAGATCCTGCCCATGAAACAGTTGAAGTGACACTTTTTTCTGTTCATGGAATACAAATGCCACATCTTTATTTATCTCAGGGTTGAGGCTTCAGTGTTTGTTGTAGCTGCAGACTGTGAACCCTCCGTTACCTGTAGCTTGTTTGGGGCTGTGCTGAGCAGAATGGCCTTCCTGTGGTAATAATGGATAATTCTGGAGCAAACACCCTTTTAGGCATCAAAAAGGGTTCTCAAATAAGTATGTGGACAAAGGGGAAGGTGAATGCGTTTCCCAAAGGCTGAGACTTCCTTTGGCCTGACAGCATTTGGTAAATCATAATCCTCAAGGTATGAAGTGGCAGCCATGAGCTGCTTGTCTTCTAGTCCAGTTTCCTGTCAGCATAGGAAGGTCCTAATAAAATCACATTTGTGCCATCATTGCCCTGTGCCTTTTTTCAGACCTTATTTTCCTTTTCTTGCTTGACCTTTGCAACATGCAGCAGTTGTCAAATGTTTTATGTATTTGCTAGTCTAGAAGAAGACACAGTCATTTCCAGGGGTAAAACATGAGTGGAGAAAAATTCTCAGAAAAGCAGGCATACATGAGGATGGAATGATGACCCCAAATTTCCTTTTTGGTTTCCTTTTTTCCCTTTATGCTCCGTTCCGGTGCCCATTGCCACAGCGAGCTCCCGTCCTGGTGTGCTGCTGCTGAGGCTCCTGTGCTCAGTTTGTGCATTTTGCTGTTGCAGTGATCACTGATGGAGCTCTGGACAAGACAGCCCTGACGGATGATGTGGGGAGCGAGGAGGATCTGTACGAGGATTTCCGCAGCTCCAACCACCGCTACGGCCACCCCGGGGGCGGGGGCGAGCAGCTGGCCATCAACGAGGTACGTGCTGCTCCCCATCTCACACACAGCACCAGGAACCGTGCTGCTGCTGCTGCTTAACCACTGCCAGGCTGCTAATGGCACAGTGGATGTGGCTTTAAATGACATTTACAGTATGGCCCAGGCCTTCCATCGGGGTGCTGTCCCTGAGGCACTGCAGAGCCTGGGCAGGTGACTCTCCTCTTGGCTGCTTTTGGTTGAGAAGTTTAAAAACATGCATGAACTTGTTGAAAAAAATTAATGAACTTGTTAAAAACATTAATGAACAGGTTCAGACTTGGAGTGTGTTGTACTGAAGGCATAATGGAAATGCTGAAAAAATCCCTGGTCTACCTGTTTCTTTATTCATAGGTAAGAAGGGTGCAAGGTTTAATACAGGTTTGGTCTTCACTGTTTCTTCCAGTTCCTCAGTATGTTCCCTCTAGGGATGTGAAAGACCTGTCTTTTTAGTCATTGTTTATAGCTGTTTGTTAAAAATGGTCACAAAATGGACAACTGGTCATGAGGTCTCACATTTTCATAAGTTTTGGTTCATCTGCATATCAGGATTAATTGTCCAATTACAGCTTCAGGTTATGAAGTCCCATCCTTCTTGTTTTCTCTCTTCAGTCCACCATTTTTTATGATTTTGGGCCTGAAACTTGTAATGATTGTCCTTGGTATGAAGCTAGGAAATGAATTGTTTTGTCTACCTACTCTGTGAAGAGAGCTCACTGACAATATGAAGCCCAAAACAACACACCTGGGGAAAAATATGAAAACTAAAACTTAAGGCATCAGTATGAGTGAGCTCTTAAACTGCTACACCTTCTTTTTCTCTTTCTTCTACTCTGTTATGTATGCATGACTTTGCCAAGATGAGAAGGCAGGGATAAAAGAAGTATTACATTTTCTTGTGCTAAACTAGAACTGAAACTGTGTGGCTCTCAGTGTGTGTGTTTGATACATCCAGTGGCTTCTGGGGTCTGAAAAAGCTCCAGAAAGCTGCACAGTGAGGATAACAGCTTTTCTTCAAAAACAATAACATCAAATGCTCTTCCACCAGTTCTGCTCCCACTGCTCAGAATCCCCACCTACAGCCCCGGGTGCCTGGGCTAAGGAAGGGTTTGCTTTATTTTCTTCCCCTATTGCTTACGTCCAAGGGTTATCAAACCATGACCAGAGGTATTTAATTTAAACTCAGCAGTCTTGAGCTGTTGTCATTGGCAAGAAAACATGAGCAGAACACCAGAAAATCTGGAGTTGTGTTCTTCCACGTTTACCTGGTGTGTTTATGAGAGTCCCAGGCACCACAGGAGTCAATCCCAAAGCATGCACTGAGTCTGTGGGAAGAGGATTCTGCTTTCTTCTCAGTCAGGTGCTTACATCAAACAGAATCCCCTCTCCCCTCTCCCCCCTCCCTCTTCAGAAGTCTTTAAAATCAGGAAAAAAATCAGGCCAGCAGGCCTCACCATCTTGCATTTCTTTATTCATTATCAAGAATAATTGCTTTTCTTTCATTTCCTAGAAGTTCATTTTATTAGAGCAAAATTCCATCACTTGTAATTAGGAAAGCAAATGGATGTGTCCAAAGCAGGTGTAATTTGTATAATCTATGAAGTATGTGGGGTTTTGTTGGCCAGTTGACTTGAAAGATAAAAGATTATTTTTGGCTTATTCCCTAGAATCTTGCCTGTTCAGGAGCCAACAAAACCGAAGAACAAACAGTTCATTATTTACTTTGTCAACTGGTTCCTAGGGGTAATTAATCCATCACTTGCTGCCAGTGAGCCTTAGCAAAGCGCTGCCTACACAATCGCTTCCTGGAACAAGAGATTACAGGAAAGTACAAAATCTCTGCAGTGAAACACTACATCTGTGAGATGGGAATTCCACAACCACAGACACCTTTAAGTGTTGGAATTGAAATATCTCAAATCTGGGAGCTGGACAGGCTTTTCCTTATCTTCTCTGCTGGACCAAAAGGTGGCTATTGATTAGTCCTGAGTAGTTCCCATCATGCTAGGAGTGATGTAGGGTGAAGATTTCAATGTTCACTCATTCAGTCACATTTTGTGAGTAGTCTCAGCTTTGTTTTATTGTATTCCCAGTTGCCTTTTATTGGTTGTGGATATGGAAACTATGGTAACCACATTATTCTTAGCCTTCTTGGAAGAAACAGCTTTCAAATAAACAGAGAAGGCTGAAATACATTTTTAAGGCAGTTGGCAGACCAAGTGTTGCACTGAAGAACAAAACACCCAGCCACTGAGTTTTAGTTCATTTTGGATCAAGAGAAAATTATTATGAAATAAAAAAGAAACCTTTCATAAAACTGGAATAATTTATTGGCAAGAACACGAGAGGGATAAAAGAAAGCTGGGAAGGTTGTATAGAGCCCACATAAGAAGATCAGCATGAGAGTGTGTAAGAGCCAAGAAAAATCAATCAAAAAGTAATAATAAGGGTTTGGGATGAGAAAAGAGGCAGGGGAAGTAATTTTCTTGGGGCATCTGTTTGACATTCTTTCAAATGCTTTCTGGATGCTCAGAAAAAGAGATTTTTGTATTTAGATTTGTACTTGGTAGACTTTGCTTTGTGTTCACTCCAGATATAGACCCCATCCTTGTATTTTATTGCATCCAGGGTCTCATTGGGTGAAAATGCAGTAAGAGAAAAATCTGTACTGCAAACACATTGTGATTCTGTCCTTTCAGTTCTCTGTGAATTTTATGTATAGGACAGATTCAGCTTCAAGCTTCATTAAATGTGTTAAATGCAGCCTAAAGTGGAGAACACGAGGGATTAGGCATATAAAAACCTGCCTGCCTGGCTCTGGAGCGACCATGGTGATGATAAGCTGTCTAGTTTTCCCCACTAAGTAATTGGTCTGGGTGAGGAAGCTTAGACCACTTTGCTTGGTAATATCTGAGGTGTCCTGAGGGTTTGTTGTGTCCTGCTGTGGGAAGGGCCCATGTGGCTCCATGCTTTACAGGAAATGAATTGCAGTTCAACACAGCCCTTGCAGCCCTCCATGAACAGCACCGTGCCCATCTTGTGAAAGCAAAGCTCCAAGTGCTCAGAAAATAACAGCAACACTCCCAATTTTTGCTTATCTCATACAGCTCTATGCCTGATAAGTTTGGAATTTGGTATGTGAAGTCTTGTTCCTGAGGAAAGGCACAACTCATTGGCTTCAGCAGGCCAGGATTTTATCCACGACACGTAACCACTGCTGCCTTGTGTTTTAAAGTGACAATATCATCGTGTCTTACAGATGTTTGAGCTACCCTAGTTGTTGACAAGATGCAATTAAGCTAATTGGTTCCAACATACATGTTTCTGATTTAACAAAGGCATTAATTCAGAAGAATGTTCAAAGTGGCACAAACAATGCATCTGCCATGTACCCAGGGTAACAGACACTGGAGCAGTACTCTCTCCATCTTACTGAGTCTCTAAAACATTATTCTGGTGCTATGCTCTTTGACCCAGTGCTTCTCCCAGACCTGTCAATTTTATGCAGGAGAGACTCATGAACTGTTGGGGTTTTTTAAAGGAAAAAACCAAAACCAAACAGCAAAACCAAATCAAACCCCCAGACTCATAAAATGTTAATACAGATGAAGTCAGAAAAACTGATTTTGTTAAACAGGAATAATATCCTTCATAGCCTTTTTCACTTCATTTATCTTCATTCTAATTAATAGAAATCTCTTGTGTACTATACGAGGGCAAATTTCATAAGACAGAAACCTTTTTAAATAGTGCCACAAAATATTGCCATTCCTTTTCTTTAAAAGAGTACAGAACAGATTGCAAAATCTGTGGTCACAACGGATTTCCAGACTGAAAACTGAATTACTGATGATATGGAAGCAATACAGAACATTCTTGTGTAATCTGGAAGAAGAGATTTATTACCACTTTTGATTCTTAATGTGAGTATATTGCTAAAGCAAACAGAAACCAGTTAACAAACACCTGCCAGAACCCACTGAGTTGGGGGTTTTTTTCCCCTTCTGGAGGGCCTGATGCTTGCTTTTGTGTCCCACGTATTCCTGCAGCCAAGGCTGACAACTGTGCTCCAGAAGCAGCAGATATGATTTATTTGCAGAATATAGTGTAAAGCTCAGTGCTGTCAAGGACAAGAAATAATGTTCCCCTGTGGACATAAATCTTCACTGCATCCTGATTTTGGTCCCAGGTGCTTGCGTAACTTTGCTTAAATGTGAGTGTTCAGAGTACAGAGTCAGAGTTGTGACTTCTTTTACTGCCTGGTGGATTTAGTTTTTAGGGTTTTCTGGTCTGCAGACTTTTAAGGCTGTTTCAGAGGGGTTTTTGCAGTGGATTTAAAGCAAATCGGTATATTTGAATGCTCTGTGGCAATTATGTCTCATCAAACATCAGGATCAGTAGCTAAGTGGTCCCAGGGGTTTCCAGAGCTATATTTCTGCCTTCTACCATGGGCAGCTGGGGCTGCTCTGTGCCATTTTCCCACGTCCTCCTTAGCACTGGGACTTGGGCGTGCCCTGAGCAAGGGATCCTCCCTCAGCAGGCTGAAGATGCAGGGAATGTGATGGAAGCTGGTGTAGCTCACTCAGCACTGAGGAAAGGCTGTCTTGTGAGGGAATGTCAGGGTTTTTTGGAAAGGTGGGAGAAATGGGATGTGCTTTCACACCTGCAGTCATGCAGTGAGTCCTTATCCATCGAAATGTTTGTTCTCAACCATGGGAGATGAGGGCAGCTAGCTCCCTTACCATGGGTCTGCAGCATGCACTCCACCAGGAGTTCAATCCACACACAAGTATTTCTATAAAATACATTTTCTTTTGCTGGGCCATGCTTTCTCTAAATACCCCAATTAATCTGATACTCATTAGGAACAAATAAAAAACATTCAGTCTTGTTTTTTGGGGTAAAAATAATGGGGGGCTGTTAGAGTTCTAACTCCCAAATCAAAACTCTGTGGTGTGACAGTGCTGCAGGTGCATTAGGGGATGAGTGGGTTATGGGCTTGG